CACCAAGGATGGGTGGTACCTTTGGTGCACTGGCTGCTTGGAGACAAGGACAACCAGTGTTGTCCTGGAGTTAGGTAGTGGTGGCTGTTAGGAAAAGCACAAAACCTCTCAAGTGAAGAGAAATTGGTTGGTCTCCCCTGTGCTTTGCCACATCACTGGTATTATCAGCCATTTTCTACCCACCCCCAAGAAATGCCACTGGCTCTTCTGCACGAGCTTTGCTCTTCTCGCTACCTCTGTAGCAGCCTGGAGCAGGAAGTGGGTGCTGGGACCATAAATGTTGGGGCATCTCAGGCCAAAGATGCTGCTGCTTGTTCACCATGGGTGCATCTTCAGTCCATGTGATATGTATCAAGTTCCACCTTGTGGTGACACTGAGAATGGGCTTCTCCGTGAGCAGACTGCCACATCCACAACCCTGTCTCCTCTTTACGCTGGCTCTTCTTGTCTGCCCAGCTACCCTTGCAGGGCACTTGGGAGGTCTGGCCAAGTGATAGCAGGGTGAACACAGGAGCAGTTCCCTGCAAGCAGCATGTCATGTCTGTCCTTCAAATCAGTGCCTAAAACATTCCTCTGCTGGGATGCTGGCAAAGAGCCACATGATGGGTAGGTTTCTGGTGCACTGAGACCCAGCCCAATATTTCTCAGGCCCCGTATGCTTTGGTTGTTCTCACCCTGCCTGTAAGGTCTCTGGGAGGAGAAGCCCGTTCTCTAGCTCTGCTTGGATCAGTCCACACGGCTATGCTGTCTTTCCCCAAAATAGGCTGGCTATATCCAGACTGCCTACTGGGAAGCGTCCGTAGCCCACGCCATCACCATCCAGGAGCGTACTAGCTTGCGCGGGCCAAACCCATGCCAGGGAGCGTGCTGACATGGTGCAGAGCCCTGACCCTGTCTAGAAGAGGTTGCCTGCTCAGATGTTTCACTGCCAGTTTGAAGTGTGACCTTTATTTGTGAAAATCTTTATAAATCTTTCTGCCAATCTGTGTCATTCCAAGGATGCCTGGATCCACACATGGTGCTGGCTGTGACCCATCCGAAGCCAGCACTGTCTCCGTGCACTCCTGATGAAATCCAGGCAAAACTCCTAACTAAAGTTCATTGCACTCAGGAGCTCAAAACCAGACTGAAGGGCACTGGTCCTTCCACCACAGCGCACAGGGAGATCTGGTGCAGAGCAACAGGCACTAGAATAAACACGGGCTGCAGTAAATTGTAGCTTTTCCGGAAGTTGGTGCGAAAAGAGTGGGAAGAAAGTAACTTAATAGGAGGATGCCAACTTGATAGATTGGACCAGTACCAACAGCGAGGAGCACCCGTGCAGTTTTGTTGCATAACTCCTAGCTATGAGTTAAGTCATGTTTCTGGGCACAGGTTAATTTAATGAAGATGTTCCCTTCATAAAATTGAATTTAGTTGTAGATGGGTGTCAGTTTCCATTTTTAAGGTCGCTTACAACTTTTCTCAACTTTTCCTTCAAGAGCTGGCATTTCTCCCACAGCCCAAATGCAGGTTACTTTTGCCATTCAGTTTCAGGGCAAAACCGGGGGGTTGGGGGAGTGGAGGAAGGGTAAGAGTTTAATTTCATTACATAAAATTAGGAAAAAAATCTTTTTTGTTTTTCCTGACTGATTTATCTGGAATTTCAGTACTCTAAATTTAGCTAGTAGTAGCCAATGAGACTTGCTGTGCATGTCTCCACAAAGGGCTTTGGAGGCATCCATGTGAGGGGCAGCCTGAGGCATGGGAATTTCTGCAGACACATTTTCTACACTGGCTCATTTAAGGACGTCGAAGGATCTCAGTCTAGAAGAAACTGTGGCAAAATCTTCTCCGTGTGAACAAAGCAAAACTGAAACCTCCCTGTTTAACCCAAGGGCTGCAGCCTTATGTCCTGGTAGGCTTGACTGAGTAAGGACTGAGAACCTCTGCTCGCAGTAAAGACCTCGGAGATACATGGGCAGGGGATTAGTCTCACCTGTATTCAGATGCCTGCAACACGCTGAAAACATGGCCAGCAGAAAGACGGAGGGCAATTCACCTGTCTCAGTCCCTATAAGCCTAAGATTTTGCACAGACACCTGCATTTAGCCAGCTTAATCCGCCCTGGGTACTGCAGGGTTTACCCCAGCAGTAGTGCCACGACAGTCCTTCAGGAGAGCTTCCTGAAGGCCCACAACCCCTGGCCTGCTGTTTCACAGATCCCTACATGCTTGCCTGCAGCTTTCCTTCATAAATACCCGTTTATATATTTTTATTCCCATGTGAGGGAAATTATATTTTGCTTCCACCTCAGGGACATCTTTGGCTGCTGGAGCTGCCCATCCAGTTAGCTGAGTTTCGGATCTTGCCTAAGCCATCTCTTCCTCACACTTCTCCTCCTCACTTCTTCCAGCACTCGGCTGTATCCTTTCATCTCAGCTGCCTGCAGCAGTTTTCCAAGTGCCTACGTTTCCATCCTCTCTCTCTCTCAGTTCCTCATTAAAATCTGTTTTTCCCAAGCATCTGTTTGCCCCTATTCACCTGTGTTTGAGCCTTGCACACCGGCAACAGGGTCTTAAAACCAACTGTGTGTTTTTTTTTTTTTTTTTTTTAAACTAAAAGCAGTGCTCAGGCTGGAAATTTAGCAGTCTTTTTATAAAAGCAGAACAGTCCCAAGATGACTTTTACTTGTCCTGTCTGAAAATGGGGCCAGGTTGCGCAGTTAATGTACTGCTAAATGTCACAATGGCAAATTCTTCTGCACTAGTAGTAGTGCTATGGTGCAAAACGCTCCCGTGTAATGCATCAGTAACATCCTCCATCAAGTGGGGTGTGTAAGGAGCATTTTGTTTGCAGGACTGAGAGCAGCGATGGTCCCAGCTTCATCAGAGCAGATCCCAGCTGATCCCCAGCAGCAGCATCTCCACTCACAGGTGCAGGTCCCAAAAGGAGACTCCTCCAGACTCCCTGCTAAGGGCAGGTGCAGATGACTCATTTGGAAATTTAAATCAAGCAAAAGTCAATCCTTGGGACTAGCTGACAGGAGCAATGAGGAAGTGGCTGGTTCTGCAGAATTTTACTGATTTCTTGGCTGATGCTCGCCGCGGGCTGCCGCCGAGCATGTCCCCTTCGCGGGGCTCTGGTGCTCCCAGCACAATGTGTGCAATGTCTGAGATGAAGAGGGCAGTGTATAAGAATAAGGCATAGTGCAAATTAGCCTTTCTATAATCTGTGTGAGCACAAGGGCTCCCAGTTCAGGGTCATGCCAGCTTCATGAGGCAAGAGAAAGCTTATTAATAGCCTCCAGAGCCCAGCAGAGTTATTGCATAATAAATGTAGATGACTCTTTATAGAAAAAAAAGCAACAAGAAGATCATGCCGCTGACTCAAATACATTCAGAATAAAAGGCACAGACCGCTAAATTAAAGTAGCTGCATTGACTCTGTGGAAAATGGACATTATTATGCTCAGTTTTCAACCCAGGCCTCAGATCTCTATCCAAATGCAGAGTCAACAAAAGCTCTGCAAACTTTTCATAAATTCTCATCTATGGTAATAACCACTTTTGCTCCTGGAGGATATCTCAGAAGTCTTAGTTACTGACTGTCAAATATTTTACGGAGACAAAATTTTGTGCATGTGGTTCGTTCTGACATAAAAAATACAGCTATTAATGTTATACCTGCACTGGGCAGCAAGAAAGGGAGCCTCAGCACACAGCCATAGCCACATCTGTAAACCACAGTAGCTGAGTAATTTCAGAGAAATTAGATAGCACAAGTCTGATCCTGCTAACAAATAAACACGTGAGCAACCTTTTTGTCCACGAAGCCAGGCACGCAAAAATACTTTGGCACTTGTGAGCATATGTGTCAAGGAATTTCAGTAAATATATATTTTTTAAAGCTTAGCTCATCCAACACTTGTATATTTTTCTGCTTCAGACAAGAAAACAGAGTAACAAACAGCCACTGAAATCTTGTCGGTTCCTATCCCCAGAAGACTAAATAATACTCACTGAAAAATGAGCTACAAGCGAGAATAGGAAAGATTTTAATAGTTCCAGATGTATTTCTAGCTCTCTTTCCCCAGTGGTTGTATAATGAATGATATACCTACAAAAAGACTAACATTAACCTCTGGTTCACCTTCCTCTCAGATTTCTAGCATCTGGGGAAATCAGAGAGAAGACTTCTTGAGCCTGGGGGAGTCTTTTCATATTTTCCCTGGTAATACTAACTGATTGTATTTAAGGTCAAGCACTTATTGCTCTATTAATTTAATTGTTTTCATTGTTATTTTTGTTTATCGCACATCTACACTAAGAAAAAGACAATCTCCTAAAATAACAAATAAGCAGTGCAGACTTTTCCCATTTCTGTGGGATCGCAGTATCCCATTTCAACCTCTCTGTGATAGCTATGCACAGTCCTGAATTGTTTCTGCTCATCAGAGTGAGTGAAATACAAGGAAGAGGTAACAAATCAATATATTAAAGTCAGTCCAGGGAATAAGGGATGGATGATTACCCCGTCTCTATGAGACAACCCTCCCAGTCTCGGTACTGTTTGAGACTTTCTAAAAAATCTCACTCGCTGGAAGGACAGGAAGATACCTTCCTTTTTAGGAACATTACTTAGTTTTTATTAAGTATTTATAGAGTTTTGGAGGCAGCTCCTGAGCTGGGGTGATTTGTTCGAGCCCTGCTGTCTTCCCCTGAGCTACAAGAGTTTACCCAGCTAAGCATCCGTCCTGCTCGCAGTCTCACCAAAAAGGGGAGGAGATTTGGATCAACTTTTCGGACTCGCACACTCTTATCAACCAATGCACCCTTCCCACCAACACAGCTAACCCTAATAACAAAGAAAAATCACTTATCGCCCTCCTGTAACATTGTTTACACCACTGCATGGGGGGATCGGGGTGGCAAAGAGGACAAAGGGGAGGGAAGAGGAAAAAGAAAGCGCTGGGTTGAGACAGAAGAGAGCTGAAACATAAAGACATTTCTTTGACTTACTGCTGCAAGCGAGGAAGCTGCCATTCGATTCCATTGCTGCAAAATAATGTGCAGAAGGGCTCCAGGAAACAGCTGTGCCCAGATGTGAGCAGCGGGCGGCGGGCAGAAGGGGGGAGCCAGACCCGCGAGGCTCCCTTTGCTTTCTGCGCCAATAATCCCTGCCGTCAGCTCCCTTCGGAGGCCGGTTCCTTCCCCTTGGCTGGAAATAACCTCTCTGCTATGACTCCTCATGCGTTTCCCTCCCGCATCCGCACGCCGCCGCCTGCCCAGCACCTCGATTGAGGCCAACCCGCCCGAGCCCCAGCGCCGCGCTGGCCTTGGCTCCTCCCTGCTGAAATCTGGCCGTCTTCACCACGCTGGCCCGGCCTCCCTGCTCAGCGCGTTGCCTCTTTTCCGGCGGCTGGCACAGAAGCCTACTCGGCCGCGCTCTGCTCCCTTCCTGCAAGAAGACACCGAGCGCTGCAAATGAATCCCGAGGGGTGATGGTCCCCCAAATCAAGGGCAAAGCCTTAAACAGAAGCCAGTGCCTGGGATCTAGGTCTCTAAAAGGCTTTTAGGGACCGGGGTGGAGGGGGAATATTTCTTTTCACAGGGGGAAAAAAAAAAAAAAAAAAAAACCACGTATGTCAGAAATTGCCAGTATAGAAATAGAAGCTGTAACCACAAACGCTCGTAGAGGCAGGAGCTCAAAACAAGAAAAGTTACAAGCTTTGCAATTGAGACAGCAAGACAGAAAGCAGAAAAAAAAAACCACTTGCACTGTCCCCAGGCTCTGACTGAGGTGAGCTGATTCCCTACAGCCTGTCTCCTACACTTGAATTAGATATTTTTTAACAGTACAAGGGTGATGCTGGCAAAATGGGAGAGGGAAAAAGAGGAAATCCAATGTGGGAAAATAAAGTTTCCCTCTACTCGAACATTTGGGGGAGGTTTGCAGTTATTTTGCTGTTGCTTTGTTTTGTTTCCAGTGGTTTAGAGTGGTCTTGATGCAAGGGCTTGGTGGAGCAGTCAGAAGATGCAAAGCCCTCGTCCCTCTGCAGGTATAAACCAGGTAGCTGCACCGACGGAAGGGACAAGTTCCCATGTGACAATAGCAAGTCTGGGAGACACACTGTGAAAACCAATTTAGTCCTCGGACTGTTAGTGCCTCCATGCCAGGAGTGTAGCTGTCCCTTCATGTCCCAATGGCTGACCCACGGACAAGAGATGTCCGCTCAGACGGGGCACCATCCCTGGGGCCAAGTTCACGAGTGAGGTCGGTTCCCGACAGGCAGAACTCTTTTAAGATTCCTCTTAAAAGCCCCAAGCCAGGGAGGTTTCCAGAGGAGGCCAGTAAAGCCTGTCGACCTTTCAGCCCATGGGGAAGGGAGTGCAGAACTGATGGTATGAGTGGCCAGCAGATAAGTCAGCCAGATTGGAGACTCGGGTGAAGTGGAGGTGATGAGGGCAGGATAGTTTTTGCCTAGAAGGAAAGGCAGAGAAGGGCAAAGAGCCTGAACGTGGTCATGGTAATTGGCATTATAGCAACTCCTTTGCCCTCCGCAGGCAGTCTATAGCCCCCACTGCAGGCAGGCATCCCACACTGCCCAACACAAGCCCCTTGGTGTCCCACACTGCCCAACACAAGCTCTTTGGCGCCCCACACTGCCAAAAAAAGTCCCTCAGTGTCCCACACTGCCCACTACAAGCCCCTCACTTAAGAGACCTGCAGGCCAATCTACCTGTGCCCTCTGTAGCACAGAGAAGATGTAAAAGGAGCTACGTTAGTCCCAGAAATGGAGAATACAGCGGTCTGGATGCAATCCCTTCACTGCAGCTCTGAGCATGGTTGCACCAAGATGGGACCAACAGTCCCCTGCTGCACTGTGAACACCACCGTTATTGCACTGTCTCTGGCCTGAGAGAGAGACTGAGTTTCTCTGCCATCGTTGCTTGAGATTGGAAGATGATCCTCTGCGTTTGAAACCACTTCATGGCGGCTCATAGCATCTATGTGTGCTTCCTTCTTGCCATATTGTCATCTCCACGACAACACCCAGTGGTACTGGAAATGGTGCCAGTCAGGAGGATTCACAAAACCTTGCCTAACTCTTTCACTTTTCACAGTTATGCTTACTTAGGTAAACCTCTTCTTGCTTCTCTAGGTGGCCAGAAGCGTCGTCATTTGGGCTGCTTCGTGCACTTCTGCACCTTCCTGCCACCCAAGCTAAGGCTTTGCCATTGCTAAGCCCACGATGGGCTTGATCCCACATGTGTGCTCAGAGCAAGCCTGGCACTTGCAGACTGCCTTGCACTCCCTGCATTCATCATAAACCACAGCAGAGCTGCTGTCAGAGCTGGGGCTACCCTGCGACAGACACTCGAAAGCTGAGACCACATAGCACAGGTCCTATCAGAGTTTTGTTTCAGAAGGTAACAGTCCTTTTAGCTATACTACTACAAACATGCCATATTTGCCTCTGCATGGCTGAAACCCATATACGTCTGGAAGAACAATGAAACCAAGGTGGCATGAGGCACTATCGGCCTCCTGTAAACAGCAAGAATCCTACTAATAAGTAATATTCTAAGAATAATAGAAAATTAAAGAGTGTCATGCAAACTGATTCTCTGAGCCTCATGCGGGGTCACTTTGCTCTCTGCATTCCAGATTTGGGTTCTGGCAGATCAGAAGGTACAGTGTGTTAAGGTGGGTCTTCTGCCTAGTTAAACCAGCATCACAGCTGGTTTAAACGGGTTTAAAATTGCTGATAAAAAAACTGCAAAAGGTCAGTATTCATCCTGAAACACTGAGAAAGTGATTCACTTTGCAATAAAACATGTAGTTAAGATAGGCTGTTGCTGACTAATTTTGTATCTCCACTTACCTTTTAAAAGCTGTCTGAATTTCTGATTGCGCCTACCCTCTTCTGAACACAGCTCCATTTTGCTCCTAAGCTATATGCACTAACTTGTTCATACCCAGCTTTATGGCTTTTCATCCTCAAGGTCAAACCATGACTTGGAAGGGAAGAGCTTGGTATCTTTTAAATTAAACACCACCGCTTTGTGCATATTGTCTCTACTTGCAGAAGCAATACTGCTAATAGGTGTCAAAGTTAAATAAGTGCAATTTATTCTGAGCAGATTGGTCCTGGCGTCTGTAAGGTGCCATTTCAATTCCTGTTTTAGGCATTGAAGGTTAGTCTTCTCTGCTTTAAAAATGTGACTTTTACAGTGAGATAACAACAGAGCCATAAAAATGTTGTGGGTTTTACTGCAATGTGACTGGGTGAGGTGAATGCATATTCTCTGCCCATTGCTGACTTACCCCATAAAAAAATTACAGTGCTTTGCCTCCCCCAGGATTTTACAGCAGGTGAGTTACCGTGCACTGATTGCATTGCAGGAAGAGCACACCTTTTTAGCAGCAGAGGCAAAACCTGATGGAAAAACCTGTTTTCCTGAATTCCACAAATACTTTATTACAGCAAGGGCTGCATTTATTCCCCTAGGATGTCCTGTGCACGCCACCCACCACCAGTGACTTCAGAGCCAAGCCCACCTTGCTATCTCCCAGCTTTCCCAGCTTTTGGGGTGCTGCAGGCTATTACATTTAATGGCTCTTAGAAACTTGGGAAGTGGCTTTATTCCCCTGCCTCTGTTGTCATGGGTTTTATTCCCTGAATCATCCTGCTGGGCCATGGAGGAATGTGAGGAATTCCTCGCCATGTCCCAGTCATGTGTCTCCGGCAGCTCCTCTCCTTCTCCCCAGGCTCCTTGGAGTCAGGATCCAGTTCCTGAGTGCATTAGTCCCAGGCTGCCCATGGCTGTACCTGGACCTAAGCTCTTCCTCACTTCATTAGGAGAGCAAGGTTGGGGGTCAAGGAGTAGAGTAACACTAAAAAGCAGAACAACAGGAGAACGGCACCTCAGTCAAGGAGAGGAGCAGGTAGCTGCTACATGGCTCCTTGGCCTCTGTGTGCAGGGTGTGCTGTCTGTGTTTGCTGAGTGGGAGCTGTCGGATGGGATCTGGATGCCAAATGCAGCATTGAAGGCATCTCCTCCAAGGGCCAGCAAGACAGGAAGAGAGGAGGAAAGGACCCAACGTTCCAAAACCCAGGTTTAGTCCACAAAATTTTCTTAGGGCTAGCAAGAAACACAAACTCGGCCATGATTCAAGAAATGAGTAGCCTACTCATTTTTGTTCCTTTCTCCTCAGTGCTTACCTTCCTGATTAGAGGAGGCACAAAGGCCTCGCGCAGCTGGTTTCACTCCACATCACCTTTAGCTTGCAGCAGCCACAGCCCGGCCTCAAACTGAAAGAACCCCCAGCAAAGACAGCAAAAATTGAGATGCACTCAGCAGTTTACTGCATCTGTTTAAGACAGGCCTTTTCTTTTCACCAATTCATCTTGCAGCAGATACTCTAACATAAACACCAGTGTGCACATTATCAGACAAAAGCAATTACTTTTAAACAGAATAAAAAAAAATTGCAAAGCACGTTTCAAGCACTCTGCTCTTTTCTTACCTATACTATCATTTTCTGAGCTTACTAAGAGGCATTTCTAGGCTTGGAGACACCCAGTAGGGTTAATGGCACCTTCCTAAAGCAAAGCTGCCACTTTTCTGATGACTGCGGTGCCATGACATTTTACTGAGGGCCAAGTCCTAAATCCAAGGCACACCTTGATTTACCCACTTGTTCTCCAGCCATAAATATGAGCTTGGAAGGAGTTCAGCGTCAGCATGGCACGGTGAGGAACCTGCATCCTTCTCCAACCCACCCTCCAATGCAGCCATGCGCAGCAGCACCGAGGTTGCCCAGCAAACCAGAGCCATGCAAGGTCAGCGAGCTCCCTTCTCACTCTTGCACGCGCCTACGCCCTATTGCCTTTTCCTGCAATGTTTGTGCACACATAACCCAGCCCAGCACACACAGAGCATCTGCAGGGTTCAAAGCCAAAAGCGTTTGTGAGTTTCAATTCAACGGCAAGCCATAAATCACAGCGAACCCTGAGCGAAGCAGAGGTTTACCTGCCGAGTGGCTCCACTCTGCAAGCATGATTCAAGTGTTTGTTTAATTGCGGAAGAAGTACTTTTTCATCTCAGAGGAATGCTACGCGGCCCGATCACCAAGTGTTTCCTAAGAAGAAGATGCCTCCTGGCTCCCTCTGCCTCTCGGACTTGCGCACACACCCTCCTCATCACGCAGAAATGCTCTCGACCACCTGGCCCGAAGGTAACAAGGAGGTGTTTTGTTTGCTTTGAAACAAGGATGCAGGATTTCTGCTGCCATGATGAG